GAACCTCCCCCTTTCCTGGGGACCACCCTGTTGTTACAAGACCAGGCCTGCACTACCTCAATATTTGCTTTCACCATCTGCACTTAGACTTTGCTAAAACTTGTAAGAACATCTCTGTTTACCTGTGAATCTTCATAGGCAGCGTAGATCCATTTAAGTTAGATACTGTTGTGAAGAATTTAATCTGACAATCCCTTTTTTTAAATGCATAAAATTAATGAAACAGTAAAATCATTCCCTTGAGAATATGGGATCTGTGCATGCATATTGCAATTTAGACCCCTCAGGGCAAATGTAAAAGGCTTTGTTTTGCAAAGATCCCTCACAAAGGCTGCTCTGTCAAAGTGTTAAGGTTAATCTCAGAAGGAGCAGTGGAGGCCAGTGGGCGTTTCATGTTTGACTTTCTTGGGTCTTGGCAAATGGTGACATTGGATGTTACCAACGATTAAAAAGAACTATCGCAATGCAGTTTTATAATCATTGATTCTATTTGTTTTTCCTTCGTTAGGCCTGACACAGAAACAAACCAAACGATGACAGTGGGTTGATGGATTTCCCTTTTAGATTTTAAGCTAGTTAAATATAGGTAGCGGCTGTAATTGCATAGTTACTATTTCCCTTTTGCAGCTTTTAGAGCTTTTAGAGTGACAAAATTGCAGCCCCCTGTCTGCAGTTTGATATGGTAAGCTGTCCTAAACATTGGCAATGCTGTAATCGATGAACAGAATCAACAAACACTTCATACATTGTCGCACGAGGTTCATTTCCACTGCTAAAATTAGTGGTTTAGGGAAGGAAAACCAATGTGGAAAAAGTGACATGTGTGACCCACCTAGTGACAGTCTCCCCCTGCGAGGTTGTTCCAGGGCAACCCCAATATGAAATGAGTTGCCTGACTGTGGGTCCTCACCCATGGGCTTCAAGGGACTTATAATAAGACTCAACTGCTGGCACACACAGGAAGGTCAGTAAAGGGTTTATTTACAAAAGAAGGGGAAATGAAGAAATGAATAACTCAGGGAGAAAGGGAGGGAGATAAGTTGGTGAATACGTCCTGTGGGTTCCACTGATCTGGAATCCCAAAGGCACGCCGAGAGCTGGTGAAAAAGCAAGAGCCAAGAGGCCAACAGGACCCTCAAGGCCCACGTGTCTGGTTTTATACCAAACCTTGCTGCTTAACGCCCCCTCCTCAGGTCCCAGCAACCCTCCCTTTGGTCGGTGATGGTGGGATTTGTAGTTCCCAGGGTCTTGATGGTTTTGGTCTGGAGTGGGGTGGGGTCCACAAAACCTGTGTGCAATTTGCTCAGGAGTTCCTTTCCCCCTAACGAGGTGATGCTATTTGATTAGTGTCCTCTAATATGTAAGAGAGGGGCATGCCTTGCTTTGGCTTCCAGAGTGACCATTTCACTATGCAAGCTGACGCGGGAGCGATGCTGTGAGCAAGGTCCTGTGTCTGCAGATTATTTATTCTGAGAATGTTAGTGATGAATGTTACAAATAGGACCTGTGGGAAGAGAACCAGAGAGACTTTTTGCTCCATCAAAGACTCATTCTTTTATTGTTTTATTTTTTTAAAGACATTTATTTATGCATGCAAGAGCTGGGGTACAGGCCAGAGGTGTGAGGCTGGGGGTGAGAGGATTCACCAGAGACGGAGTGGGGAGCAGAACAGACAGACTGACTGAAATACACTGCTGAGGGAAGCAGCAGGCGAGACAGGAGAGGTCTCCTGCGCCATGTGGGTCAGCTCCCTGGACAGGGATCGAACTCATGCTGTAGTGGCTGCTGATGGCTTGATAGTGCTGACACTTAACCCCTTGCTCCACCAGGGAGGCCCAAAGACTCATTCTTTTATAAAAGATAGTCTTAGATTTCATAGTTGTGATATAGCCCAAAATCTGTTAAGTCATCTGCCAATATGTGATTGATTTGAATAAGCGCCACTGAAGGAGCAGAGGCCTGGACTTGTCAGTGGGTTGGTGCTAGACTTTAGTGGTGGGTGCAGTGGCAGTGAGGCCTGAGCCCATAGGAGGTGTGATAATGTACTCCCGAAATTTGCAGAGTACTGTACACCTATGGCAAATCAATAAAATTTAATATTAAGAAAGTTCACTATGGCCATGATGAAATCTGTACATACAGTCTGCGCCACTTTTTATATGCAGATATTAGAAAGTGAAAATAGCGAGTAACTTTAAAATAAATTATACTTCAGTATTCAATGTGCTCTATTTTTTTTCAAGCAAAATTAATTTTGAGAAGTATGTTAGTTCATTTATTATTGGAAAAGACCTTACTAGCTTATTCAAGCAAGAAAATTACCCCAAAAGCTTGCAAGATTTATAATGCTTGGGAAAAAAAAAAAAAGCAATTCAAAACCTAATGAGACATTTTAGGCCTCATTTACATCTCTAACCTGACCCATTTTCTGCAAGACGTTTTTTGTTGGTAATTTACATACTAAAAGCTAGTTATTTATCCATCCCTAACCAAAAAGTTGATGAGATTACTAATACCACAGTGAAGTTAACATTACCCTAACAGCTAAATACAGTCATTTCTGGAAGGTTGACGGTTGAATCATTTATTCAGCTATAATCTCCATTGCACGCTGCAGAGACCTACCTTCTGGGGGATGACACTAAGGGACAGTAAGGCTGGCAGATCTCCTGCCCATGCTCACCATGGTGGCAGGAATCTTTCCTGGGGTGCAGGCGTTGGAGATGAAGCCCATTCTAGGTCTCTGTAGGTACACGCAGGGATTGAGCCAGGGAAAGAATGTCATGAGAATCAGTCTCTAAAACCAGTTCCTTTAGCCTGTGGGTTTGAACACTACCAAGCTTTGTATGTGTTTGGGACTTAATACTTGTGTTGATATAGCTATATTTTATACAAATGTTAAGCTACCGGTATTTTGAGGTAAAAAACCTGCAATGAAGTACAAAGTTACAAAGCAATAGATTGCATTTTCCTCAGGGTGAAAAAAAAAAATATATATGTATATTTGCATGATATATATATATATATATATATATATATATATATTTACATGATGAAAATATGCATCCTTAAATATATACTTAAAAATGTATATTTTAAAGACTATATTATTCAAATGTATTTCTATTTTCTATTTTATGTATTTGTTATTATTTATGTGATGTACATATATACATGAAGCATCACCATCTATTGATAACTATTTCTTTGATAATTACTCTTATTAAGCACTGATTTTTTGTTCCTTGGCTAATGTTCATAACATAAGCAGCTATAAAATATGAACTGTTGGTAGATCAATAATTTCATTGCACATCATTTGGGCCCATGTTGAGAGCTGCATTCCAAGACCTTCAAGACTGTCCTCGGATATAATTTGCCTGCCTCCTACTACGAACACCCTCTCTAAGTGGCATAATCTTCTAAATGGCATCAGAATCCACCCAAATCCCAGTATGGAGAAGTACATCTGTGTGGCTCCTTTCCAGAGAGTTCTTATCCAGCCAGCCTTGCAGTGCCTTTCTAAGTTCTGCTCCTTGTAGGGAGTGTTCAACCTGAGATTCATTTATTCACCTTCACTTTCCTGTCTGGACTAGTCCAGCATGTCATTGGGATCCAGTCAGTCTGGTGTCAAAGGTCTGGAATGCTCTCCTGCCAGTGGCTTGGGAAGACGCAGTGTCTCTGGGCACTCCATGGTCACATGTGGCTCTGTTCCTCCCCTATGACAGTTTAGTTTGCTCAATAATGAGATTCAGATCATGCTTGTGTTTGGGAACTCCCTCAGCTTCTCGTATTCTTCCTGGTGGAAGAATTCTTCCACCACAAGTGGTAGATTTACAAGAGGATACGCAATTGATTATGAACAGAGAGGGCATGCTTTGGTCAATGTCATTAATAAAGCTCACCTGCAATGTAAGTCACCATTCACCAAAGCTCACAGGATGCCATATTAAGAATTGGTTTTTTGTGTCCTGCTTGGAGAACAGAAGTTTCTAGGACCATTATGTTACTGGGGTGCCACTAAAAGGTAAAGAAACCCCAGGAGTAGGTAAGGAACTGCCCAGCACAAGTAGGTTGCCTTGTGCACTCTCTGGAAATACTAATATAATACATCATTTTATCTAAGAAGATTCTTTGCATAATGTTGAATTTCTTTTCCCTGCTACCATTATCCATAATACATAATGTTATAAGGTGAAGAGGCTAGATACAGGTATCCCTCACTTTTCAAAAGTCAGGTTATACCATGCTTTTATGAAAGAGCTAAATTAACAACTGTTTTCACACCTGAAAGAAATCAGAAGAGGATTTTTGCACTTAGACTCAAGTGGAAAGCAAGACTAGCTTCAGGGACTGTTTTACGCCAGATGCTATAGAGACAGCAGCGCCCCAGCCCTGAGGGCCCCTCCAGGGTTCTTCTTGGCCCAGTGCACAGGCTGTGTTCATCCCACACGCCTGCTCGTGTGGCTTTAGGTGGGGTGTGCTATTTGGTATGATGTGCTAGGTTACCTTTTAGATCTGGAAACATTCAAAACTTTTTCCAACTAAATGCTTCTTCACTTTGCTCCATTTTGAAAGTTTTGTTTGATAGGAACGTTTCACAGTCTTGCTGTGTTTTCGAATAGAAAAGGAAACCATTCTGCCTCAAAGCATGAGCACACTGGACTTGAATATCCTTGAATAACTTGAATATCCTACAAAAGTTCAATTCAATGCCCAGAAGTTCAGAATCAGAGTCTGGAAGGACGTCCTACTTAATTGTAGCCCACTATAAGCGTCCAGTGATTTATTTTTCAGTGAATATTGTGCACAGTTATATCAAATTTAACTATTCCTTTTCTCCAGGAAACAAAAAAAAAAAAGACTTTAAAATTCATGTAATTATAAGTGTGTGTAACATAACAATTACCAATAGAAACTGAGTTTATAGATGTGGATTGTTCATGAGCAGTCATAGTGATTTATGGGCCACTGCATAAGGAATGTCCGTCTCTCTCCAGGCCAAGCAAGAGTGTTTCTTAAGAAGAGCTGCTTCCTAAGACGGCGAAGTGGCCACAGCTCTCCTTGCTGGTGGAGCCAAAGGGCACCGGACCCTGAGTTGGTTGGCAGCTGGACTATCTGGACAGGAGCGGTCTCCCGGGAAGACACAGCAAAGGTAAGTGTCCGTCGGTGGCCAGCGACGTTAATAGCCCTGACTTCTGGAAAGACTTGTTTACTGATTTCCTAGTCAATTCTGTCCTTCTCTCAGACATCATCTCTAAGAAACTGTCAAATATCTACCTTCTCTCTTTACACTTCTTTTCTGCTCCAGCCTATAGCCATCGTGCGTGTGGGCATAAATGATGTTTTGCTTTCTAGGTCTTTGTGCTTAAGTGTGCTACAAACGCAGCTCATTCGTGAAAGAGAGACGAGGAAGAGGGAGAGGGAGAGAGAGAAAGAAAAAGAAACAGAAAGAGAGGAAGGAAGGAAAGCAGAACGGAAAGAGGGAAGAGAAGAGAGAAAGAAAAGGAGAAATCAGGCTATTTTAAGACTTTAATCCGCCCATCATTTTCTTGTAACATCAGTTAGCAATACCCATTATCAAAGGTCCAGCTGCCAGGAGTCTTTGAAATCCAGTAATTATTTATGAGAATTTTATATAGAAGAAGTAGAAATCATAAAATAGCTTTGGCTCATCAAGGGGAAAGATAAATGTTGCCAGAAAAAAAAAAAATCTGAACAATGTGAATGAAAATCTGTTTCTGCTAGTGGGATCATTCAGTAGAAATCAGAGATATTAGCTGGGTTCATAAGATTCCACTCATCTACATAAAAGCAAACTTATTTTTTAGAAGGTATGATATAAGGATCCGATTTTTACTGTTAGAATATTGCTGGGCATGGTAATTATGTATATATCGTAAAGTAAAAGTTTTATAAAGTAAAAGTTTTATAAAGCTGCAGTTTTCCTTTTTTTAAACCATGGTTATTTAAAGTTTTTGACTTGGGTTTTCTCAGTTGTTCTAAACATAATTACAACTTTATTAACCACAATATCGGCAAGAATTGTAAAAGTCGAAAAGCATAAAAATGTACTATGTGCCGCACCATATACCCTATTTTAAGGTCACTATTTTTAGAGAAAAACTCGACTGGCATATGATACAGGCAAAGATGGAAGGCAGGAGTTCGTTCTGTAGAACGTCTAAATGTCACAGGTGTTATTGGAATGCAAATGTACTTTTCTATACATTTCATAGGTATTATATATAGCTAGAGTTCTACACCATATTTTTGCACTTTATTTTCTGACTTTATCACCTATTACCTTTTCCCAAATTATTGGAAACTAAAAATATCCATATGAAATTAAAGATAGCGCGAGTTTAGTTCTCTGCTGTCTTATAGGCTGTGTATCATTTTCCATATCACTGGTGCGTTGAGCTGAGCTAAGTACCCCGATGTGGACTCTGGTTTCTCAACAGGGGATAGATTTTATTTTGGAAATAAGTAATTTGACAGTCTAATTAGTTGAAAAGGAACTGATGATAAAAATGAGTAATAAAATTATAAGAAAGTTATATTCTTTGAAAGTAGAATTGAAAGTTAGAAAACATCTAATTAATGAAGGGTTCATTTTAATTGCTGTTTTATCCATAAAATCAAAGCCTTGGCATTCTTTCATTGACAAAACTCATCATTCAGTTTTACAGAAATTAAGTAAAATGAAGCCGTTCTTTTCAGAGCAAAGTGTGAGTTAGTACATTTTTAGTTAAGTGCCTTATATAAAATGTATTGAAAATAAAACCTGGCACTTATGCCATTCTGCATTACTTAAATCTGTCTTGGATGTAGAGTTTATATTATATATACTAGAGTCATTTCATTTTTAAAAAAAAACTGGATACTACCATGACCGATGCCATTAACTTGTCCCCATTATTTTGTTTTTCTTTCAGAAATCTTAATATCTGCAACAGATTTAACTTCTAGTTCAGATATTAATAGATACCTTTAAGAGAAAATTAAAAAAAAGGTGTTTTTCGGTTAAATTGTTTATCATTGAACTAATTAATATGTAAGATAAGGTTAAATTTAAACAATATCCTTATTTGCTTAAAATATGTTACCTTAGTGGGTAAAATATGACATCTTTTAGTGAGAATAACACATAGCTCTTGAAAGTCATGAATATCCAAACTATGTTCTGCTGCATAATATTACCACAGAAACACTTATAATCAAATGTGTATTTTTATGAAAACACTAATTCATAAACATGGTGGATTCAGTTCTTTATGATTGTGTTTTTGGACTTAGCAACTTGAGTAATACTCATTGGAAAAGCTTGCAGTATAATCTTGAAGAACTAAAACAACTCTTAAAAGAATACAAATACATGGGGCAGAAACACTTTACTATGAAAGAGCAGAGCACCCCCACCCCCAGTAATTTGTTTGTTTATTTGTTTGCTTGTTTGTTTTCTGGACCTGGGATTTGCTGGGCTGGAGACAGACGTAGTACATTTCAGAATCTGCCTTTCTGGGTGCTTGAGAAATAGATTCCAAATGTGACCTGAGTTGTTCAAGTGACATCAGTGACTCTATTCTTCTATTATCATTTAAATTCCAGTTCATGTTTTGACAACCCTCTTTAGTGGAAAGCATACTGAACACCAAACTGCACCTCTTGAATCTTCATTCTTAAGCATAGGTGCATTATTCTACAAGTAATGTTTCCATAATATGTAGTGTCACTAAGGAGAATGAAAATCTCACTTGGGATCTGCCACTGTAATAATTTTCAGCTATAGGCTATAATTAATCTGAATAATGGCAACAAAAGACACTTAACAAAAGTAATTTTAGTCTTTAGTTAAAGAAGTTAAATGAAAGCCGCGTTCTTCCACTTAACAAATATTTATGTGCTAGAAATGTGTTGTTAGGTGTTGGGGATCACAAAGTTTTACATCTACCCTGTGCTGTCATTCCAAGGTGTTTTGAATGATGTGAACAATAAAGCACAACATTTTACGTGAGCTTATATGTGACAGTCGAGGTTCGTTGTCATGGGTGGGGGCGGGGACAGGACACACAGAAGAACTAATATTTGAGTAGCCTGGAAGCTTGAGTCAGCCATGGGAGAAGAAAGAGTATTTTAGGCAGCAGAGAGGTTATGGTCAGTTCTTGGGATGAGGCTTTGCCTGGGGCATCACTTGTGGGAGTAAAAGAAGCCATTGTGTCTGGAGCACAGAGAGCAGAGAATAGAAAGAGATTGTCCAGGCACAAGGCATGAAGGACGTGTCACGCAAGGCTTGTAGGCTCCACCAAAGAAATTTGATCTTCATTCTAAATGCAATGAGAAGCCACTGGAAATGTATGCAGGGAGTGACGAGGTCAGATTGCTATTAAAAATCATCACTCTAATTGACATGTGGAGAATAGGGAAGACGTGGGAAGGAGAGCATATGGGAAGGCCAGTTTGGAAGATTTTAACAGATCAGGAAACAGGAAAGGATTAAGGTATAGGGATCTGAAGAGAGGAAGGAGACAAGTACACGGAGTTCACATCTGGAGAAGAAAGAATGAACTGAAGGGGCTAGAGATCAGAGAAGTGCCAAACTCTCATGCTTCTTTCTGCGGAAACATGATGGTGTTTTCAGTTTCATTAGGTAGGAGAAAAACATGGACAGTGGGACATCCTGGAGGTCAAGGGGAATATCTCCACTAAGTGTCAGAAGATCTGGAAGAGAAGGGTTATGTAGCATCCCCTGAATTAAACAAGCATATCACTGGCAGCTTTTGCAGCACAGTTTTGATAGAATGGGGTAAAATCCAGATTTAAGAAATTTGCTCTGTAACTGATAGAGGAAGAAATAGATCAATAAATGCAGACCATTCTTTTTTTAATTTGGGGGTGCTGAGGTGGAGTAGAGGAACAGGCCCACTAAGAATATGAATATCTAGAAAATAAGAGGACAGATCATGCCACCTGATGTTGTCAGGGCTTGGCTGGGGACAGCCAGTTGCCAAAATCTCCAAGTAAGGAAAGGTCATATCCAGATAGCAGTTGACAGCAAAGCAAAGAAGTGAAGAGAGGCGTAACCAGTTTACAAAGAATAGCTTTCCTCCAGAAGGATAAGGACATGATGGACATTACAGAGTTTGGAGCAGAAAGCAGAGCTCTGATCTTTCATAAACAGCGCTACCCTGTCTGTGTCCATATTTTTTGTCCATGTTGCATGGCTTGAGAGGAAGCATAAAAGTCTGCAGTGAGATTACCTGCTCCATCCATCCTATAGCAATTCCTGAGTCTTCACGAGATCCAGGTCCCTCACCAACTCCCCTTGGCCAATACAGAAATGTCCCAAGAAACTCTTTGAGCACAGCAGTCCCTGGGGTTGAAATGTGGCTCTGTCACTTTGGCCCCTCTCTTGCCAGGGATGGCCGGGCATGTTAACGAACAGCTCTGCACTTCTAATTCCTCACCTGTAAAATTGGGACAAATATAAGTTCCAGTGTGGAATTTGCAAAGATGGATGGAAGTCATGCATGTGAAACTAGGTTGATAGTTCTTGTAAGTAGAAACTAGTGGAATGAACAGTATTATTATTATCAGTCATGTAGTTCATATGCTCATATTTAAGTTTAAATAATAATAATAAAAAAAATCTTCATGAAGTAAACCATGCTGTCCATGACATCAGACATTCTGAAACCACATTCCAAACTATTCTGAAATCAGGGTAGTTTTATTCTTTTTCTTACTATCACATTCATCCAGCCCCAAATGCAAATACACTAATCTCTGTTCAACTTGTAGATAGCATTCAGGTAACCTCATCTAATTAACCTTGCATCCTCAGCTCTAAAACATAATTTGAATCAAAGTAGATGTTTAAACTTAATATTTACAGATACATTTATCAAATAAATTTTATTTTTTTTCAAATAAATTTTAATATTAACTTAAAATGGTACAAATGGAGAACTTGTGATAGGTTACCAAAAGATACTGTTTATTCTCTGGAAGCATAGAGTAAATGCTTCTAGGCATAGAAAGACATAGAAAGTAGGAGAGAGACAGCCTCTTAGTCTAGACTGAGTGAGAAAAGTGAGGATTATTTTCTTCTTCCCTTCTAAGTGTTATTTTCTGGTGCAGTTGGCTAGGAGAATA